AAAAAAAAAAAAAGTAAGTAACGGCCACGTACGTGGCCACGGCTCAGAGTAGATGCAGGGGGTAGGAAAAAAAAGAAGAGGGGAGGAAAAGAGGAGAAAGAGAAAACGACCACGAATATGGTCGTGGCCGCCAACATGTGCAGTCCCCAAAAGGTTCTACGGGCTGATGGGATTACGCCTGTTCATTTGAACATACAACCCTGAAATGGCTGAGTACAACCATTTTCAGGAGTACCTGGCCTGGGAAAACAGCCAAGTACTCCTGTGAATTAATGACCTTGGTTCCCCTAGGCACTGAGCTCCTGGCCATTAATTTAGGGTCATTGATTTAAATCAAGGGTCAGGACCACTGACAAATTTTTGTCAGGTTGAGGGCAAAGCAGCTGCCCACGTGCCTTCGGCTAGCTATAAAAGTCAGCTTCCCACCCAACAGCCTCACACTTGTGGCAATGTTGTTGGGGCATTCTACTTGAAGTAGATGCTGGCTGGCTGGCTGCTGGAGTAGTGAGGCGAAGTGGGGAGGTCTGCAGAAGCACTTGGAGGAGGCGAGAGGCAGCCATAGCTAAAGGTTGGGGGCTTCTTGCCCCACCTTTGTACTTCAGGTTTGTGGGAGAGGTGTAGTTGTGAGGTTGTGGCAGACTTGGACCGTGCGATAAGAGGCCCACGCCAGGGAGTTGCTGCCCGACAGCCTGCGCAGTGATATTTGAGTGGGAAGGCTGCGCCGTAGTGATTTTGGAAGGGGGTGTTGTGTAATTTGTCTGCGACACGATATTTGGCAGCGTCTTAAGGGGAGGTGATGCCGAGATTGTGCGGCGAGATTGGTGGTTGCTGACGGTTTATTGGGGCTACGACAATGATTTTCTTGTGAAACAATACTTGGTGGTGTGGCTGCTAGGGTGCGAGCCCTACGACATTAAGACTAGAAATGCTTTTGTGTTTGGATAAGCGTCACGATCCAAGTTTTTCTTTGGAGGATCATCTGGTGGTGCAACGACGGCGTGGAGATACTTGAGACCCATATTGGGACCAAGAGAGTCGGGGGTTGAAACCCGGGCAAGTGTGGGTGAATACCTTGTGATCATACGTGGTGGTTGGAGGAGGTTGGACTGGTGATTGAGGTAGAACTATTCTTGGTGGGCGAGGTGTCGTTGGGATTGTAGTGGGACCACGTGGGACTTGTAAGTGAGAGTACCCTTCTCAAGGGCTATCTCGCTTCAGTCCTAGTGAGTGGTTATCTGTGTCTATGTGGACGTTTGAAGAAGAACGGAGATTATCTTTTGTAGACGGCCACAACTTGTGAGTTGTGTAGCCGATCTTTTTGAAGATAATACTTGACTTTCTTGAGTGAGTCATTGTTAACTTCACTTTAGTTGTGACTCAGTTTCCCTTGCACACATGTGTGAACCCACACCTTGCATGACGTTGCTTTGGATTTAGGAAATAGGTAGAGTAAGATGT